GGGGGGGGGGGTTACTAATCAGGAGGTAACATTAAATACATGAACAAACTTAGATACATGATTACATATGTATATATATATATATGCATACATACATATATATATATATATATGTGTCAACCCCGTGTCAACCCAACATGAACCTGATTATCGTGTCCATAGCCTACCTGCTTCCTGGGTTCAGCTTCTAGGCCAGGTTTCTCATGTCAGGCTGGGGGTCTGGCGCCAAGGGGAGGATGCACCTCATTCAGATCCCCTCACAGATCCCTCAAAGAGCCCCGGTCGAACTATTGAGTCCAAGTATCAGTGCAGTGCTATGGACTTTGGGAAAGATTTCGCGGATGTGCAGAAGCCGGATCAAAATGCAGGATGGAGCCCTACACTTCAGGACACGTCCGAGAGTCTAGGGTTCAAGGTTTAGAGCTTAGGCTTAAGGGTTTAAGCTATCTGGGCTTCAGGTTTGAGACTTATAGGTCAGGGCCCATATCTCGAATCCCACTCCGCTGGGCTTGAAGGATGTAGATTTCCCGTACATGCCTGTTTTGTTAAATGACTCGAGCATGGCAGGGATATGCGTTAAACCAGATCAAGGCCGACACTTAGTCGGGTTTTTGTTCTTCCGATTCCTGTGCTCTGGTGAACCTTTCAGAAACCACTGGGAGGCCGAGAAGAGGCGCTCCAAGGGCTTTTCGAGGAAATCTTGCCTGGTGTGCCCCGCGGCACACATCCAGGATTCCTCCGCAAAAAGCCCTAAACGACAAGACTTAAGCGTGAAGACCCCTGCAAGCCTCAAGCAACCCCTGATACCCACAGTGCCCGCCTGAACGAAGAGTGCTAAACGACCCTAAGTCGCGGGAGGGAGTTTTTCGGGAGTTGAGAGGCTGCGGGTTTAGTTGGGGTTTTGGGTTATAGGGCCTACGGTATATACAGGGTTCAGGGTTTTCGTGTGTATATAAGGGTTTAGGATTTGGAGAGTTCCTGACTCAATCGCTTTCCCCCTCAGACTTCTCTATGCTATATTCGGGACCTTCGACTCCTTCTGCGGAACAAAACAGGTAGTTGCGGGCGTAGGTCGTCCACTGTCCACTACTAGCCCTGCAACTACAACCACGACTACTACGACACGACGACTGCTGCTAAACTACTGCTGCTGCTACTGCTGCTACGGGTTGAGGGCTGAGGTTTTCCTGGGACTTCCCGTAAGTTGGAGCTACGTACTGTAATTACGCCAGGGTGTCAGGACGGGGCTTGGGTCCAGACGGCCGAAAACTCTCGCGCAGCAATTTGCAGCGCGTAGGACTCAGACCTGCTACACGAATAAACCCTCACATGTGCAATCATAGGGTCCGTAATATTCTAGAACCCTCGTCCTTCGATTCCCTACGAACCGCCATGTTGTCCATTCGTGCCATGTGTTCTTGCCCAGGTTTGCCAGCGAAGATCTCTTCACTGCGGCCTTTCGCAAGGTTTCGCTTCATCAGTAGCTACGTGTTTGGGAACCCAGCAGCAGCCCAGCGTGAAGGGCTTAGAGACGAGTCGACTCCAATCAAGGCAACTGGAATTGCGAATGCACAACATGAACCGGGGCCATGTTGTGCTGGTGGGTTTTTAATTTCAATGTCAGGCATGGTTGTTGCTTTGGCGAAAGAGATACCCTTGATTGGATTGGAGAGTCTCCCAAAGCAGCAGGTTCGAACTCTTGAGCCCTGTACCCAAACCCCCTCTAATCCACCAAGTCTTTCCGTGAGGACTTCTTGGAGGAGCTCGAAAGAATAAATTCCGCTGGCATACCAACAAGGAGGCTCGTACCCAGCAGGGTTTTCGCTTCAGCACTTCTGCTGATATGGAGGTCGGAGTAATTAGCAGTGCTATCGCCTTATGGTCTTGGAAGAAGCTATAATAATTCCTTCAACACCCTATGCTAGTCGTTAAGGCCACTAAACAAAACCTTACACATCTATAACACCTTATCCGCCCTAATCTGATTTGTTTCTTAAGGCCCTGTACTAGGCTTTGGAGCCTCAGGCACAAATCATGAACAACCCCGAGGGTCTCTTAAGAATACGGACATTCATATGGCAAATATGCTTGAGTGCCTGTTTGGCTGGCTGACTGGCTGGCTGACTGACTGACTGACTGATGTCAGCATCGGCCTAACCTGCAAACAGGGCGTGCTGTCAACTATCTTCGACCGGCTAGAAGTGTAGCACAACCTCTCCCAAAGATTTTTTCAGTACATGTCGGCTACTCGGGCAAGTCACATTTTCCTCACACAGTAGAACTGGACTGTCCAAGCCTCGAAGCATGCATCATGCATCCTCGCAGGCCCCACAACCGCCTTGAACCCATAGACCTTTCCTGGAAGCCTCAACCCTTCACCCCAACAGCTCTTGTCCATTGAGTTTCAGCTCAGCTCAGGCCGAACGGGATGAATAGATATGGAGTGATTCTAGACGCTCAGATGCACATGACTTCCTGCGCTGGGGGGGTCTTGGTTTTGGGATGCTGTAGAGTTTAGGGTCTGGTTTGAGTCGTAGGGGTTCCGGCCTGTGAGCCCGAAGTCTTACACCCAAAACCTTACATTCACAAAAGTTCCCTCGCTGCCCGGGACGCAGACGTTCTGTCTGGAGGCAATTGGGAAGATTTTGGCGCTTTCGCCAACATGGCCAACCACCCTTTTTGCACAAGCCGCAGGCGAGATGATGGGCGAAGGCGCGGTATGCGAATCGGTGGCCAGGCATGACAACACCGATTTACAATCGAGCCAATGGAGAGAGATCGTCCAGCGGTACGCCATATGGTGCCTTGATCGTACAACACCCGCTCGTGCCATGAATGTTTGGCTTCACTGTCTGAACACGGCACCCGTGAACACGTGGAGCTCACGTCCCGCATCATCATGCGTGGTGACGCTGCTCTGTGCTTCATGCATGTTGACAGCAGGAAGCGAACCCTGTTTCATGTGGGCACAGCGCGTGTGACCCACGTGCGCCAGGAAGAGTTATTGATTCTGGCTGCTTGTGTGCAACTGGCACAAGGCATCATTGGCCTCCATTGGCAAATGCTGACGGCACTCGCTTCGGTGGCTGAGGCAACGCTTGTTTACGGAAGAATCTCAAGAGCGAGTCTGAAAGGCCCAGTGGGCCGATATCGAAACTACTCGGATGGACCGCTGTTGTTGAAACAGCTTGTTCATTAGAGCTCTGGCGAGGCAGTAGCACCGCCACAGTAGTTTCAAAAGCAACTCTGCAGTGGCATCATGTGTTACATTCGGATCACCAGACGCGAACACAAACCGCACGGCGGGGAACCTTCCTAGATGTGATTGATAATGCTGAAGCAGCAGGCGAGAGTATGATCCACCTACATGCCCGCAGGATGGTTTGATAATTTCACGTTGTTCACCGTCCCCTCGGCGACCAGGACGACCGCGACCACGACGACCACGACCGCCAGGAAACCACCAGAACACCACCAGGATACCGCCGATGAACAGCCAAGAAACCGCCTGGACACCACCACGGACCACCAAGACACGACGACCAAACTGTTTCCCTCACGTGCTGGTGGCACACGCAAGCGTGACCGCAAGTGCTGGCAAATATGCTTTTGCCGGCGGACATGATAACCATGCTTCCCCGCATCTACTGGCGGGCAGGACTCAGACATTTCGAAGCCAACTGAGACCAATGCATTGGAACTCTCATCTTGCAATGCGTCGCATTTTCCGGAGGACGCGGCCGCACGGACCGTGTGTAAATAATGGCACGTAAGAGCAATCTATGCACCGCAGGGGGTTGGAACCCATGTCCGGGGGAATCTCTCGGCGAGTGCGCGTGCGCACAGACTAACCAAGTCTGTGTGCATTTTTTTGAGTGTTGTCAGAACCCCATAATGGCAAGGTGCGCCACGTTATTTCGGAACATGAAGAATTCAGATTACGCCTCTAGCTAGTCCCGGGAAAGCCCAGGACCAGGTCGGATTCGAGAAGGCCTTAGACGGTCTCCCGCCAGCCAGTGACTGCGCGTCGTGTTTTGGGATTGAGGGCTCTACTCCAAGGTTGGGGGATTCTTGCAGTTGGCACACCTGGAAGTGGAAGGCCTCCATGATGCAGTGAAAGTTTTTCCGGGTCATCCAAACCGAGAGCTAAATTCTCGCGCGAGTCACCTGTTGTGGTCCATATTCATACAGTGCAGACCTTCTGGGCGGAGACTTACAGTTCCAATGCAGCCTGCTTGTCGTTCCCAAAATAGATGCAGACATACGTGTTACATGCATGGTTGTTTGTTTACCTACATATAACTATTAATTACGTGTTTGTCTATCTAGAGCTGGATTGCTGTTTATTGTTTCATATGTTTATATGTGTGTATATATGTGTGTTTATATACAGAGGTAGATGTACATATTCGTATACTATACGCACAGTGCCATTGCGCAACGAAGCCTAAACATTTAAGCCAAGGCCTTGTGGACACCTACATCAAGCCGCTTGGAGGGATGCTTTTTCCCGAGCTGGTAGGTGCGCATGATGCCGACGAGCACTATGCGTTTACAGCAGCGCGCCCGCAATCTTGGTGAGGGTTTGAACCGAGATGTCAAGCAGGTTCGTGGGACCTTGTGTAGAAGTGAGAAGAACTCTTCATGACTTGGAAGACTTGCAGTTTGTTCTCGCATTACATATCCTAGAGGCCCTGCGAGGCACCCTGCACGGACCACTGTGAAAAGTCATACGCGGAGATCAGCCCATTCCATTCATTCTCGGATGCTTCTTCAGTTGTGTATGGAGTCGTAGGGTTCAGGTAAAATACGAGCCCACCGGCGACACTGAACTGGCAAAGCACGGAGACGCCTCCGTGGTCACGTTGAGCTTTGGCAGGAGGGTTCTTGCACGATGTAATGCCGTTTTCGGACTCCGTGCTTGTGCAGGGTTCTGACACCTTTTTTCGTGCACCGGGGTGGCATTTATGCTAGCTCAAATGATTGTTTTGACATAGTAACATTTGCTGAGATCATGTGTGATGGCACGGCCCTCGACCATATCGAATTAAATATCATTATGGCTTATAAAGGACAGTGCGCTGTCAATGCAGGCTGCATTGTATCCTAACCACATGATGCACATCGCAAACCGTGTTCTGTTTGCTTGGGTCCTGATTGCAATTCCAGCAAGAGTTTGCAAGCATCCCACAGGACTCTGTTCACAACCAGTTATGTCCAACCCGTAAAACCCTATCTGTAGCCTAGGGTGCCCCTACACGCCTGTGTAAACCCTGGAGCGATGAAACCCAAAACCCTGATCCTATCAGATCCATCAATCGCTTCGAGTTTGAGGGTCTAGAGCTCGGAGTTTCGCGTGCCGTTGTCGCCTGTGCCTTCTTATAGAAAAAACTTCTTATCGCGACGAGTGTAGCAACCACCACCCTCATCCTCGTCATACTTGCCAATTAAATCTCCTTTTGGTGAAACATCCAACCACCAAGACCTGCATCCAAAAAGGCATTCTTGCAAGCTTTGCAAAAAGAAACTCCATGCCTACTGACAGAGGGAAGACTCAATTAAATCTTAGCCCCAAGAGATCGCAAGGAGTGAGGGTCTTCCGTATAAGGTTCTGCTTACATGGTTTGCCTTTCTGGTGTAATCAATGATTCAGGTGACACGTATGACCCCGGTAATGCGGAATCCGGAATAATTGCCAATAGCGTCTCCTCGAAGTCCCTGGCATAACATACACCCAAACTGATCCTAACCATGAAGGCCCCTAGTAGCCCCTAAAACTTACCCCTTCATAGCCCTTCGTAACCCATGAAGGAACCTGTTCTCATTATATGCAAGCCCTAAGCCCCAAGGGCTCCCAACTCTTCTTAGGAATCTCTGCCTGGGCCCCACGCGCTGGGAGGGGGGTGCGCTGCGCTTCTTCGATTCCGGCGGCTCGGGGATCTACGCGCTGCCGAAGGGGACGGCTTGGGATGCGCCTGCAAGACTTCGGGTTTAGGGTTTAGGGGGTGAAGTATGGTATAGTTATAGAGGCGCGAAGAGGGGGCACTCTGCATTAACCCTGAATCCTAAACCTTATAGTATTTATCTGATTTTGATGCGCCCTTGTCTCTGCGCCCGAAACACAAAATTTCTGGATTCGATCAGTCACTTTAAGCAGTAAACTCCAAACATCAAGCTGAACATCCCTTTGCGCAGGAGTTGCGTTGCTGGGTGGCTGAGACTTATATAAGCCTACAAGCCTTATGCCAGACCCAGGGATCGAGATTCTGTGATGCAGACTCCGCAGAAGCACCGCGATCCCAAGGCGCAAAATCTCCACTTGGCCCTATAGGCAGTTACGCACTGCAATCCTTCACTCGAGACCCAAGCCTCCCGCCCCTGAAACCAAGGACTGCCAACTCAAATGCGAAATTTAGCTCAGCTGCTTGCGCTTTGCTTGGCAGGAATGCCTCGGCAGGCTCTGGCGATGTCAACTTTCGCCCGGGCCAGGTGTTCTTTGGAGGAGATTGCGGGATTGCGGGCGTATAGCATGGGGTCCGTGGGGTGCTAGGTGCAACGGACGGCTGGATGTGGGCTTTGAGGCGTTTAAGGGCTGACGATTCAGAAGCCTAAACCCTACGGATAAAGCCCTGTACTCCCCAAATTAAAATCTTAAGCCCTAAGCCCTTCAGTTTTATTAAGCTGAACACCCAAGGGGCGCGCGGACTTTGGATTTCGGTTCCTGTTATCACTTCATCCTTGCTTGTTGTCGGGTGACGGGCTTGAAGAACTGTGGCGGTGGGGTTTCTACTTTAGCTTCTGAGGGCTACGCTAAGACAGGACTCATGAATTGCGGATTTCACAGTCTTCAGGCGCAGGGCTTGGCTTAGAAAAGTTTTGGAGGTTCCGGTGGAGGGCTCGAAATGTTATGTTGGATTGGCCAGAAATGACACGATGTCCTGGCTCAGATGCCCGAACTGCCCCAGTTGTTAAACCCGTTTAACATCTTTCGGGTCTTCACCAAGCATGCAATCATTTGGGTGTCCAAGGGTCCTTTGATCCAGTGGTACAGACCCTGATAGGGGCCCAAGGACAGCTTGGGTACCAGACGCTGAAAGAACCCTAGCCCCAAATCGCTTCAGCGGTAGCTCCCCATACTGATGCATTCGTTTTTTTGCCAGAAGCTTCGATCCGAAACGCTCCAGCTCTACGTAGTTCTAGCCTTTTCAAGAGCTTTATGGCCCTCAGCTCGAACCCTGAAGCCCTAAACCCTCCCTGAAGCCCGAAACCGAACTTCCTCCCAATGGAAATGGGGAGGTTCTCGAAGTTAGGATCCTTTCTTTATTGCGATAGTTGGCGTGTTTGTCTGGACAATTTCAGAGAGCCATCCGAACAACAGAGAATCATGTTATAAACCCTACACCCTATACAGTAATCTAGTCGGCCAATCAGTGTTATTCCTGCAGATTCCATATATGATGCCAAAATCTCAAACAACCCCCTCCAAAACTCCAGTTTGGTTTTTTGGGCTTTAAAAGTATCCTTGCTCAAGGCTCATACACCGCGGTCAGCACAAGCATCAAGCGTTGCCGCTGCTGGCAGGGCAGAGGTCGAACTTGACTCCTGGCCCAGCGGGCAAAATTGAGCAAGTCGTAAGGGTCACAGCTTTGAAGTGGTGGTTGTGGGATTACGGTAAATTTCAGGTTGAGGTCGTAGGTTTCGCGGTGGACGGTTGAGGGTTGTTCTTCGTCTCCTGTAAAAGTTTCAAGTCTGGGACGGAAGTACCTTACCTGGGAATCGGTCTAAGCACGAACAGCTTCTTCGAACGGTAGTCGTTTTTGTGGCCGTGATGTCACCCTTGATGTGGGCGAAAAATGACATGTCTGTGTCAGTTAAAGGTCGAAGTCGAGGTCCTAAATCCTAAACTAGAGATGTCACATAAGGTTTCAGGCATGTGTTGGGCATGAGGGTCCCAAGCCCAAGACCCACCCAGCACATGAAACAACAGCAATGCCATACTGGGGACATGCCTAAATCATCTGCGCTTCTGACTTCAACTCACCCCCATGCCCTAAGCTGAAACCGCTGGCCCTATGTTTCGACTTGGAGCCCCATTGCCCAACTCCAAAGTGATACAAGCCGTGAGCCCTGAGGTCCCTGAAGCTTCCGCATGTCGAATGTCGTGGGTTTTTGAGGGGCTGACCATAGACCTTAAGCCCGTGGGCGATCCGAGGATTATCTGGCTGCATGCGGAATACGGCGTGGTGAGGGTGGCACACTGAGCATTTTTGAGAACGTTGCCAATTCCGGCCTTCCGTGTCTCTCTGTTCTTCCTACTTACCACATGACAGACCTTGAATGCCTACAATCTGCGGGTTTGTGATGCCTATGTCGGGCCTATGTAGTCTCTGAGTCGTATAACAGGTTGTCAAAAGAAAACAGGGGGATGTGATTGTAGCCAGTACCGCCAAACAAGTGTATGCGAATCATTGCATGGAAGCTGGTGGTTGGAGATTCCTTGCACCGTGGCTGCAGGACCGAGTCTAGAATCCTAGTAGTTTCCGGCGCGCAGCTTCCAGCAGTCAT